TTTTTTTTTTTTTTTAAATCCAGCCTGTTATCTCTAACCTTAGGTAGTCTATCTTAAAATATATATACATATCTCAAATGCTTTTCAGGAGGAATAAAATGCACAAAATATTTTATGTGAAACTTCCTAAAGATACTCAGTTAACACAGAATTTTCAAAGACATTAAAAAACATTAAGGAAAAAAAGAACTAAACACACTCACCCAAGTTTTAATATAAAAATGAACTGAACAATGTGAACCACTTTTAGGAGATCATATGATTCAAAAAGTCCAACAGCCTTCAATAATTTAGTGAAACATAGTAACACAATATATTTCGTTAATCTGAAAAATAAAAACAGAAACAAGTTTTGGTTATCAATGAAATCACAAGGAAATCTTTTTCTTATTATACAATAGAGGTCATTATGAAAACCATAAATATAAACAAAAGATGAAACAAACAAAAACTCAACTCACTCCCCCTGTGATTACTAGTACTAACACTGGTATATATACTTGCAGATTCTTTTCAATGTACATGAATGTATTATGTAAAGGTACAGTCTATTAAAAAAAAAAAGCCAAACTAAAAATAAACATTTTTGATTTACTGAGTCGCCTCGACTGCTTTATAATGCACTTTTAAAATAATTACTCCAAACAAATAAAAAGAATAAAAACAGAAACCAAACTCTGTCATGAAATGAGAGCACAATATAGGAAGGGAGAGGATGGCAAATGCCTGACGTTTTTCCTTTCTGCTTCGTTAAGTGGCTGCAGTAGTCATAGTTGAAGTCAAGTGACCTGACCCACAGTCTTGAAAAGGCTTAGGAATGTGAAGCACCTCAGAAAGGGTGTGGAGAAGGGAATGGAAACCACTCCAGTATTCTTGCCTGGAGAATCCCATGGACAGAGGAGCCTGGGGGTTTATAGTCCATGGGGCTGAAAAGAGTTTGGACATGACTGAGTGACTAACACACACACACACACACACACACACACACACACACACATTAGAAATGTGCCAAGTAGTTAGGTCTCCAGAATCCCACCCAGCACAGCCAGGCAACCATTCTCCCTCAATGAGGACAGAAAAAGTGAAGTTCAGCCTCTGGAGAGGTCTAGACAAAAGGCAATTGGAAAAAGAAGGATGAGGTGTTGGACTAAAACCATAGAGATTAAAAGGAAGTTTCCCTTCTTTACCCCAACACACCTGCCTTTCCTCATTTAGCTCTAACATCCTAACTGTCAGACTTCAATCTCCCAGCAGGAGAACCCTTCTCTGGGAAGCCCACCAGGGGACAAGCCCTACACAAGTCTTCTAACTAGCTTTTTAGGCCTCACTCACATATGAAAAGCCAAATCTGGGTAATTAATCCTTTACAATAAGTCTATAAATGAGAGATCAAACTAAAATAACAGAAGAAATTTAAAAGATACAGAGAGCATAGGCAATAGTAGAGAACATCAAAGAACTATATATTCTCGGACAAGAAAGAACAGTGCATCCATGAAAACCTGGTGCTGCCATAAAAAGAAATGTAAAAGTAACTCCTGAAAGATCAATCAGAAAACAGGAAATCATCTGTTTTCCAGCTTAATAGAACTGACTCATTTGAAAAGACCCTGATGCTGGGAAAGATTGAAGGCGGGAGGAGAAGGGGACAACACAGGATGAGATGGATGGCATCACCGACTCAATGGACATGAGTTTGAGTAAACTCCAGGAGTTGCTGATGGACAGGGAGGCCTGGTGTGCTGCAGTCCATGGGGTCGCAGAGTCGGACACAACTTAGCAGCTAAGCTAAACTGAACTGAACTGAGTCTTCTTTGATCATATACCTCTAGTATTTAAAAAAAAAAAAGCACCTGAAACCCATTATTTATCTAGATATTACAAACATGTACTACTACATTGATATTATTATATATTATAAAACACACACAAGTTAGAAATGAAAAAGAATGAGATAAAAATTTGAGAAATTCTAACAGACTGTCTTCACAAGTCACCCAGGAGACTACTTGCAAAGCTTACATCTAACAGGAGTTAATATATTAAAAAGGAGATACAGGGGATGTGCAGAGCAGCACAGCAGAGGAAGAAGTCTCTACCCATGGGAGGAAAAACAAGCAGACACAGAAGTTTAAAGCAAACCTTAGTCATTCAAATAGTAGTGCTAAAACAGTTGGATTTGCAATGATACCAATGTACACAGGATGCTCTAAAAAATCACTGAGTGTGAATCATTAAGTCTCATGGCACTAAATCAACAAACAGTAATCTGCTTAAGAAGACATCAAAATATATACTTTTGGAAGTTTTAATGCAACTGTGAAAATAAATTTCAGCCCCTGAAAGAATGAATCTCAACAATTCTACCATCTTCACCATCTGACAGCTCATTTTCTGTTTTAGACCAAATAACATTAAAGAAAATCAGATTTAGAACAAAATGGTTTTTCTTTTCATGAACATAATCTGTGGGACCTTTTAATGGTGCCATTTGGGAATTTTAACAATGTGATAATTATCACCAAAAAGCTAATAAAAATATTTTGCAGAATGATGTAACTCAAATCCTAAAGCACAGAGGTTCCTACTTAATCTACCTATAGAACAGTATAAATATTGAAATTTCTGTTTAAAAGATCAAGCAGATTTTCTGGGGTGATAAAAACAGCCTACAGCTTGATTGTGCTGAAAGATGAATATGCATTTGTGAAAAATGCAAACTGGTACCTTTAAAATCTATGCATTTTACAGTAAGTTATATCTCAATGAGAAAAGGAGTACTGGAAAAAATAATAAAATTATGGCTATAACAACAACAGAAAACTGAGTGTATTTTGTTATTAGATTGTTTGCAGACTGGTTGAAAATACAGTATGACATGAAAAATCTATCACATTTCTGGCAATTATGTAGGTATGAAAGTAAATGTATATGCACTAGAAAAAACAAACCACTAACATTTAAGAGCTGAAAAACACCTTGGAGATTCTCTAGTCCAATTCCTCTCCTGTCACAGATTGGGAAATTGAAGTCCACAGAGTTAGCGAGGGCCCAGCCCTTGACTCTTAAGTATGCTCTTTTACTAGGTCACATAGAAAACCCAAGTTCATCCAGAAGGATTTGGGGATTCCCATCTTCTAAACCGTTTCCAATTATACATTCACAGTGGCCCTCACAAGGGTAAAATCATTAAATATTACAAACAAAATGCATATTAAACCCAAGATTAATGTAGATTTTCTCTATTTAAGCTAGGGCTTCCCTGGTGGCTCAGAGGGTAAAGAGTCTTGCCTGCAATGCGGGAAACACGCAGGTTTGATCCCTGGATCGGGAAGATCCCCTGGAGAAGGGCATGGCAACCCACTCCAGTATTCCTGCCTGGAGAATCCCATGGACGGAGGAGCACAGCGGGCTACCGTCTACCTGGTTGCGAAGAGTCGGATACGACTGAGCAACTTCACTTAAGCTAGAGAAAAAAGTCAGATAGACTGAAGTAAATTAACTACATTAATGCTAATGATCATGGGAGAAATTTGTAATTAGCCAATAAAAATACTACTTTTGAGTTAGAACTCTTCTGTTTATTTATTCAGTTCTTAACAAGGGGACTTACATAATATGTGCTCAGCAAATGTTTCCTAAATGAAAGAATGCTTACTCTGCTGTTAACATTTGTGTGATACAGCAATGTCTAGCATAGCAATACAGACAGCACAGTAATACAGTACATAACTGGCAGTCAAGCTTCTGGCAATTGAAACTGTCATCCACCCAGGCATGAATGCAGAATGAGGGAAGAGAGAGAGAAGCTCGAAGCCTCGAGCGCTTCACTCCTTCAGCTCTTAACTAGATGTAAAAATAAGGCAGCAGGATAGAAGCAAGGACACAAAGACAGACACTGTCAACAAGACAGGGAGGATAAAACAAGAGACCAGCAAAAACAGACAGACGTACATTAAAAACCCCGGCAATCTGGGGATTCCTGATGCCAGCAAAGGGCATTGGACAGCCCTCAGGAGCTGTGAAGTCAATTTTCAAACATTCCCTGCTCACTTACTATGTGCCAGGTGTCACTGGAGTCTAATGAGACCAGTCTGACGGGTTGGTTTCAGGTACGACAGCCTTCCCTCCTGATAAAAGGGCCTGATGCACCTGGAACTAGTTCTGCATTCTTTCTGACTTCAAAGGAGGACTTTTATCTAAAATTTATCTTAAAAATGTTATCAAAATCTTAATGTTCTTTAAAAAATGTCATCCATTTGACAATAAGCCTGAATATGAGGGTCATACTTGGAATGGCAGAGAGCAAAGGCCAAGAATCTGCTCCTAGATGGTACTACTGAGGGGCTGAACCAATACTGGCAGCCTCTGGCTTCTTTTATGTGAGAAGAATATATCCGTATTTGTTTAAAGCTCTCTTAGTTTGGTTACTTACAATTCAATGTATTTCTAGGTGCTATCCAAGAAACTTGTAATAGAGGCCCTCCCTTCAAGGAGTTTGAGGTCTAAAGAAGACAGGCAAGAAACAAGTATTTATGTGACCCAGGTTAATAAGCAGAGATCTAAAGGAATAAATGTGGAAGCAACTAATTGCAACTAGATAAACAAAAGTAGTCTTCAGAATCTCAGGTGTGTGTGTATTAAAGACTAAGTAGAAAAAATAAACAACCCAATAAAAAAATGTGAGTTTGACCCCTGGTGGGGGAACTAGGATCCCACATCCCGTGGAACAACTAAGCCCAAGAGCCACAACTAGAGAGTGTGTGCTGCAGCTGGGCTTCCCAGGTGGCATGGTGGTAAAGAAGGCAGGAGACACAAGAGACTTGAGTTCCATCCCTGGGCTGGGAAGAGTCCCTGGAGCAGGAAATGGTAACCCACTCCAGTGTTCTGGCCTGAAAAATTCCATGGACAGAGGAGCCTGATGGGCTATGGTCCATGCAGTCACAAACAGTAAGATACAAATCAAGTCTCCACATCAAGAAAAAGGTAAACTATACTTAATAGACTTGTTTTAAGATAGGGGAATATGTAAAATTATTTCTAAATAATTTTTATTTAAAGTGCTAACAAAACTTAAAAATTTGGCACTTTAATGGCAAGATTCAGTCATACGGAACATTAAACATAGTATTTCTTTTGGAAACTATTTATTTGGCTGCATGCATCTCAGTTTCAGCATGAGGGATCTTTCACTGCAGCGCACGGACTCTAGCTCTGCCACACAGTCTCAGCTGCTCCCAGGCATGTGGGGTCTTAGTTCCCCACCAGGGACTGAACCCACATCCCTGCACTGCAAGGTGGCTGCTTACCCCCTGGACCCCCAGGGAAGTCCCTGTAACACTTGCTACTCTAGTTGCGGTGTGTGGGCTTCTCACTGCCGTGGTTTCTCTTGTTGTGGAGCTTGGGCTCTAGGGTGAGTGGGCTTCAGTACTTGTGGTTCCCCAGCTCTGGGGTACAGGCTCAACCGTTGTGGCTCAAGGGCTTAGCTGCTCTGGAGCATGTGAGATCTTTCTGGATCAGGGACTGAATCTGTGTCCTCTGCACTGGCAGGAAGATTTTTATCACTGAGCCACCAGGGATGCTTTTCCTTCTTAATTAAAAACAACAACAAAACAACAAAAAAACAGTAATTCCCGAGTAGTTGCTTGTTATCAACGTTTTAAATAAAACCATTCCTAATTTTCTGCTCACAGGTGCCCAACTGGGGACATCCTTCCAAACCTTTTCCTTTGCATCTCCATGTATGGAAAAGCACATATTTTAGATACATTCATGTATTTACCACTGTACACATGTTTTGATATTTTTATGTGATTTTTCATGTAATATATATTGAAGTTTTTTTGTCATTATTTGGAAAACTATTTGAATATTTACCTAAAAGGTAGATACTTTGATTTTTAAAGTGTCAACTAATGAAGTCTTCCTGTGGGGCTAACAACAAAACACTAGCTAAGGCCAGATAACCATATACTATTAATAATAAGCACATAATCCCTAGTTCACGTTGCAAAGGGAAACATAACAAGAGGGAAATTTTCAGGGGTGAGGAAGGGAGGCTCTTAAATGGCGTCAGTGGCTTCTGAGCCACTCACTGATCCTTCAGGCAACTTATTGGGATCCAATCCACCTTCCTGACTTGTAAATCATTATCTGCCATTAACTAGCCTCATCAAGGGTATCACTGGTATTTTCTGTGAAGGGTTAGGAAAAAACTCATTCTTCAAATCTGAAATTACTGAAATCTGAGTCTGGATTCAAACCTGCCTTTCAGGCTTTGCCCACTGTAGCAGCTCACAGTTCTCCAGTTAAAAGACAGAATCAGTGTATGTAATTCTATTTTGATTCATTCAGTAAATATTTAAGTGTCTACTACGTAGGAAGCAGTGTAAATGAAGTTTGGGGGCTTCACGGGTGGCTCAGTGGTAAAGAATTTGCCTGCAATGCAGGAGACATTCAATAATTATCAATAAATGCAGTAATTATAAATCAATTCAAATAATTATCAGTCAGTGCAGGAGACATGGGTTCATCCAATAATTATCTATCAATTCAATAATTATCAATTACTGCAATTATCAATTAATGCAGGAGACAGGCGTTTGAACCCTGGTCTGGGAAGATCCCACATGGAAGAACCAACTAACTGAGCAGCCCACTCAGTGATGGTGCCACAACTACCGAGTCTGTGCTCTATAGAGCCAAGAGTCACCGCACTGAAGTCCGCACGCCCCCGCAGCCTGAGGTCCACAGGAGAAGCCACACAGTACGCCCTCACACCGAAGCAGAGAGCAGCCCCTGCTCTCCGCAGCGGGAGAAAAGTCCGCACAGCAAAGATCCAGCACCGCCAAAAATGAATACATAAATAAAAAGGAAGCTTCTAGCTTAACTCCCAGTTCAGTTACTAGGTGTGTGACCTTAGAAAAATTACTTTTCTATGTCCCAGTTTCCTGATCTGTGAGACAAGGACACAACTAATGAGTCTGCAGTGCTGCTGTAAGGCTTAAGTGAAATGCTGCATGCAGAGTCCCTGGAATATAGGAAGTGCGTAACAAATGCTGGTTGTCACCCTCTGCTCTTTCCTGCCAAGAGGATTTATTGAAGCCAACATAGAAACATGTAAAACAATTTATATTTGTGAATTCAGGCATAGAAATATCCATAAAGAATCTGTCAATTAGCTTTTGTTGCAGATTATAATCAGAATTTGATTTTCAGTCTATATAATAAAGAAAAATTCTTTCAACCTGGCTGCTCCAGGTCTCCGTTATGGCACTCATGATCTCCGGTCTTCCTGACAGCATGTGGGGTCTTTTAGATCCCCTTCTCCAGGGGATCTTCCCCAACCAGGGATTGAACCCACATTTGCTGCATTGGCTGGTGCAAACTTTTTTTTTTTCTGAACTATTTAAGAGTAAGTTACATATATTATGCTCCTCTATCCCTAATTACTGTATTCCTAAACCCAAGAACATTCTCTTCTGAAATCAGAGTTATAAACTACAGGAAATTTAACACGGATATATTTTTATCTAATCTGTCATCTACAGTCCACTTTTATTAACTGACCCAGTACTATCCTTTACCACATTTTCTCCAGTATTAAATCTACACCAGAATTGCCTATTGCATTTAGCTGTCACGTTTCAGTAAACAATACTTGATAGGATGTTTTTTTTTGAGCTTCCCTGGTGGCTGTCAGTAAAGAATCCACCTGCAATGCTGGAGACCCAGGTTTGATCCCTGGGTCAGGAAGACCTTTTGGAGAAGAAACTGGCAACCCACTACAGTATTTTTGCCCTGGAAATCCCATGGACAGAGGAGCCTGGCGCTGGTTACAGTCCATGGGGTTGCATAAGAGTTGGACACGACTTAGCGACTAAACCACCACCACCATGTTTTTATTTTACAAAAATGAGCTGTTCAAGACAGATTAGAAAAGTAAATTTGTACTACAAAAAATGAAGCTGATTTAAGTGGCTCAGCATTTCACAGAAAAATAGTTATGTTAATAATGCTATTTATACAGTTCCAAAGAATTTAGCAAAACAATCTTCCAGTCTCAAAGGAGATATCCAAGAACAAGAAACACCTAACTTCATTAACCCTATTAAATATAAAGGCGATGAAAAAATAAATATAAAGGCGATGAAAATCAGGTTCAATCAAACTGCTGAGCCCTATTTCGTGCATCCTGCGACACTACCTCAGAAATTAGCATAGGTCCAGAAAGACAAGCTGGAAAGTGGTCATTGTACTACTGACCGACCTTTCTGGCGTTCGTGGGAACATTACGGGGAGGGGGGAATTTTTCCTTTTCACTCTATGAATTTCTGTACCGTTTGAACTTTTTGACAATGCGCACGCATTTCTTAATTAATGATAAAACAAAATAGGCGAAGAAAGGAAAAGAAAAACTAGGGGGGAGGGGCTGGATTCTTGATGTGCGGGGTTATAACCTGAACACCAAAGTTCTTCTGTTTGTACTTTGATCTGCTCGCCTGAAGAGGTGATGGTGACCCTTCCTCTAAAAGGTACGCAGCAGACGTCATAAAGGTTAAATATCACCAAACTACTATTTGAGGGAGGAACAGCCAACAGAAATTCTTCTGACAGGTCAGAAAACCTCTCACGTGAACTGGCCAGCAGTTCTAAGGTTAACGAACCGCTCTGAACACCAGAAACTCAGGCGGAACCTTCCCGGGTCCTAGAGCATTTATCCCGTAGCGGGGAACCCGGGAGCCAATGAGAGCTGCCGCGGAGTGCGGACTGCACCCAGGCGGGCGTTCCGGGCTGTCGGCCGTCGGGTCCCGAGTGCACGGGGAGGATCCGGGCAGCGGCCGGGCGGGCGCAGGGAGAGAGCGGCTCCGGAAGCGGGAGCCCGATCGGTCCCTTACCGAGGGCTGGGCACATCCACCGGCCCAAGGCCGCCGCCGCCGCCGCCGCCGTGGCCGGCTAGCACGTCCCCGCCGTATTTCTCCTCCATCCCGGGGATCAGGAGCCGCCGCCGCCGCCGCCGCTACCCCCGCGGCGGGGTCTACACATGTCTCTCCGCTTCGCGGAACAGCGGGCGCGGGCGCGTCACTCCCCCATGGCAACGGCCCCGTCAGGTCCCCGCAGGCCAGACTGCCGCCGCCGCTATCCCCGGCTCACAAGCACGCGTGCGTCGGGACTAGGCCACGGACGGTTCCGGGGGCGCCGGCTTTCCCGGAGGCTCACCGGAGCAGACGCCACCAGGCCACGTCATCAGGCCCAGCAGCCCTCACTCTCGGGGCGGGAGGGCCCGGTCCTGCGTCTGCGCACTGCGCAACACTCGCCATCCCCTCCCCTCCCCAGGGCTCCTCCTACCGCGGGGCTTTGAATGGAGTTCTCGCCCCCCGCATCTGCCCCTCCCATTGATGAAGCCTGAGCACATACCTGTCACTGCAGCGCCACCTATGGGCCGCAAGAACTACAACGAGTTCTGCAGCGGAGACAGGAGACAGAAAATGCCCCACTTGTGATGAATTACTAATAGAGTAGAATTTCTTTTAAATTCTGGCTGTTAAACTTGTTACTTAATCCTGGCACATCAGTAAACCTGGACATATAGGACCAGGATTTATTAGGGTTATTTTTTTCCCATTTATTTTTATTAGTTGGAGGCTAATTACTTTACAATATTGTAGTGGTGTTTGCCATACGTTGACATGAATCAGCCATGGATTTACATGTGTTCCCCATCCTGATCCCCCCTCCCACCTTCCTCCCCACCCCATCCCTCTTTTATTAGGGTTATTTTTCTGTTGCTAAAAAGAAAGTGGGCTTCAGTGTCTGTCTCTCTTTGACTGTCAACTCTGCCATTTACTGTGTCACTTGGCCTTTCTGTACCTCCGGTTTCTTATCCGCAAAGCAAGAATAGTAATATCTATGTCATAGGGTTGTTGGGAGAATTGTAAGTGTTAATACGTGGTGTCTGTAACAGTGAATGGTATATAGTAATCAGTAAATGTTAGCTATTATTTATAGGGAAATTTGAGGACTGGGATATGGAGATATAAATGGGGTTTTTGAGCAGTGTAAATTATGATTAGTTTACAATGTTCCACTTAATTCAAATATATTGATACATAGGGTCTTGGCAACCTTTTAGAGAATGGGGAGTCATAGTCTCTGCCTGCTGGGACTTCATAATCTATTGTGGAAAATATTTAGCAATTTGAGAGCAAGACCTGGTTGGCAGCATTACACCTTAAATGCACAAATGCTAAGGGTTCCCAAAAAAGGTGTGATACGGGTGTAACCAGAAAAGACTCACGGATAGAAGCTGATCTGGAACCTAAGTTTTGGATATGTGAGAAAAACATTGTGGAAAGATATGTCCTAAGTGTAGAACAAAGAAGAAAGCATGAACTTTACTTTTAATTTCTATTTGTTTATTTGTTTGTTTACTTATGGCTGTGCTGGGTCTTCACTGCTACGCAGACTTTTCTCTTGTTGGGGAGAGCAGGGCTGTCCTCTAGCTGTATTCTCATTGCAGTGGCCTCTCGGTGCAGAGCATGGGCTCTAGGGTGCGAGGGGAAGGCATGAACTTTAAAAGCTAAGGATGTGTATTTTCCCATTTGAGGCAAAGAAGAGAGCAAAGATACAACACTCCATCAGTGAACTGGGTTTTATTTATTTATTTTTTTTTCTTAGTGAACTGGGTTTTAAATTCAGGACATTTGTTTATTGAATTTGTACAAAAACATCCATATCTTTTACCTGGGTTAGGGGGTAGTCGATAAAGCTGAACAAAGAATGACTTGCTTCACTTTTTGAAGTGACTTTTTTGTAGCTTTTTTTTTCTTGTAGCAATTTCTTTGCAGAATTGTTATTTTCTAATCCAGGTGGTGGTGGTAACAACTAGCTATCTTGTTTTTCTAGAGCTGGTTCCTTGGGAGTTCAGAGAACTAGGTAAAACGACATGTATACATTAAGATTAATTTTTATCCCAAGAGGAGCTTGAATTCAGTTGATATTTGATTTGGTTAGAATTAGGACACTTTTCTTTTAGGCTGATATGTTTCCTGTTTTATTATTTTTTTCTCCTGTAGTGGAAGGAAAAGCGACTCTCTTTTCTTTCCTCCTTCTCACTTCTCAGCCCAGTCCAACCTGGCTTCGCCATTCCTTTGAAGCAGCTCTCTCATCGGTATTTTTGAGCTACATATTACCTTACCTCTCTATAACTTTCAACACAGTTGATCTCTCCCTCTTCTGGAAACATTCTCTTTCCTTGGTTTCCAGAGCCCCACATTTGGTTGTCAATGGAAGTTCATGTTCTCCCAAACTCATGATCTCTCCACTAAACCTGATCCTCTGTTGATGTTTCTCCCTCACTGAATGGTGCCATTTAGTTAGTTTAGCAAACTAAAAATCCAGGTATCATCCTTAACACCTCCCCTTCCTTATGGTCTGTATCCAACATGAAGTCATGTCATTTTTTTACCTTCTCAGCATTTCTTGAGTCAATCCAGAATTTTCCATCCTCATCGCCACCCTCTAGTCTAAATGACCATGGTGTTTTATTTAGACCGCTACAATAGTCTTTCCAAATTCCCTCCCTTCTACAGTCTTGTTTTCCACATTCTGCCACAGTAATAGCAATCCCTTCCAGTTGCAAATCTTATTATGCACTGCCTGCCCCACCCCACTCTACTCTCCAGCCTCCAGTGGCTTCCCCTTACTCTCTTCTTAAAGATTTCATTTATTGATTTCTGACTGTGCTGTGCCTTTGTTGCGTTGTGCAGGCTTTCTCTGCCTGCAGTGAGTGGGCGCTCCTCTGTGTAGGACACAGGCTTTTCTTGTTGCGGAGCACAGGCTCCAGGCACCTACGCTTCAGTAGTTGTGGCACATGGGCTTCGTTGCTCCGAGGTATGTGGGGTCTTCCTGGACCAGGGGTGGACCTAATGTCTTCTGCATTGGCAGACAGATTCCTATCCATTGTGACTTTCTATCACTCTTAACACAAGCTCAGTGGTGAAGAATCAGCCTGCCAATGCAGGAGACCCAGGTTCAGATTCAGTCCCTGGGTTGGGAAGATCCTCTGGGGGAGGAAATGGCAATCCTCTCCAGTATTCTTGCCTGGAAAATTCCAAGGACAGAGGAGCCTGATGGGCTACAGTCCATGGGGTCTCAAAGAATCGGACACAACTGAACATGCAGGGTTTAAGACAAACTCAAACCATTAATGTGGCCAGCAACATCCTGTATGGACTTGCCCTAATCTATCTTTGCAGCTTTATCTCATATCAAGCTGCCCTCTGCTCTCAGGATCCCAGCCATCAGTTGTGCTGTTTATTTTCTAATGTGAGACTTTCCTTAGACCAGTTTTCATGTGTAGAATGCACCTCATCTCAACCTTTGACTGTTAAGATCCTACTCATTCCTTTTGCTTCAGGTAGAGTTTCTTTAGGAACCAGACTCTGAGAGATGGAGTTGAATGTGCAAGATACTTTCTAAGGAGTGCTTTAGGGACCAACAACTGTAAAGGGGAGGAAAAGGAAACAATCGGGCAGAAGGAGAAGTTGAGAAGTGGTGCAAACCAGTAAAAGCCACAGTAAACCTCATGGAGGCATCTGGAGCCAAAATGGTTCTTGAGAAATATGTTACAGTCCCCCCCCCCCCCAAATAAAGTCTTTTATAGGCTCAAGATTCATCCAAGATCATGAATTGCATTTAATTGTCATGTCTCATTAGTTTTATTTTATCTGGAACAGTTCCTGGTCTCTCCTTTTTTTCATGACCTTGACAGTTTTGAAGTGAATGGGACAATTACTTTGCAGAATGTCTGTCAGTTTGCGTTTGTCTGATGTTTCCTCATGATTGGATTTCAGGTATGCATTTTGGGCAAGACTAGTACAGAAGTGATTCTGTATTCCTCTTGTTGCATTACATCAGAAGGGACATGATGTTGATTTGTCTCATTAACTGGTTAAAAGTTAACTTTTATCATTTGATAAGAAGACATCTGCTAGATTTTTCAGTGTAGTGTTATTGAATGAGTCTTTTGTTTGGAGATACTTGAGACCATGTTAAAATTCTGTTTCTGATCACACCTTCAGTAATTTGTATTAGTATCCATTTTTGTTCCTCGATCAAAACAATTTTTACTATAAAGTTTTCTACATGCTAATCATATGTTCCATCATCTTGTCTACATTTATTATTTGACATTCTACTGTAAAGTAAAAATTTCCTGTACCACCCCCAATGTATCTATCTTAGTATTATTAAGTTCATGGGTTCCTGTTTTATTAAATGGATTATAATAAATTGCTATGACTCTTTTGGTGCTAAATTGTCCCAAATTAAGCCTCTGGTTTTTGTACAATTTTGAAATATTCCTATCAGTCTTTCAGAATTTCCATATTTTCTGGTATAAGGGGTTCCAGATTTATTATATACTTGCCTTAATTTAGCTCTGGAATTAGCCATTTCTCCAAGGAGCTCTGGTTCCTTTTGAGGAGAGTGGTATTTGGAAACTGAGGTCTATACGGGACTTCCCTGGCAGGCCCATAGACTCAGTGCTTCTACTGCAGAGGCACGGGTTCCATCCCTGGTCGGGTAACTAAGATTCGGTATGTCATGGCCAAAAGAAACCAAGGTGTGAAGTGATTCCAAAGAGAAAGGTACGTACCGTATGATATCACTTATATGTGGAATCTAAAATATGACCAAATGAACCTATGTGAAACAGAAACAGAATCACATAGTGAATACATTTGTAGTTGCCATGGGGATGAGGGAGGGAGAGGGATGGATTGGGAGTTTGGGATTAGAGGATGCAAAGTGGTGTATATAGAATGATAAACACAAGGTCCTACTGCACCAGCACAGAGAACTGTATTCAAAATCCTGTAATAAACTATCATGAAAAAGAATATATATATATTTTATATATTCTCTCTATATAGAATATATGGGCTTCCCAGGGGGCACAGTGGTAAAGAATCCGCCTGCAATGCAGGAAACCCAGGTTTGATCCCTAGGTTGGAAAGATACCCTGAAAGAGGAAGTGGCAACCCACTCCAGTATTCTTGCCTGGAAAAATTTCAGGGACAGAGGAGCTTGGTGGACTACAGTCCATGGGGTTGGACAGAGTCAGACATGACTGAGCATGCATGCAAAAACAGAATATACATATATATAATCTCTGAGTCACTTTGCAATAGTAATTAACACAGTATTATAAATCCACTATACTTCAATAAAACAAAGACCAAGGTCTAGGTGTTGGGTATCACATTGCTACCGGTGCACTCACTGCTGCTTTGACTTCTCAGTGGACAGAGTCAGGAATTATGTATGTACATAT